CAACGTGTAGCTGCCCTTGAATTTGGTAATACCACTTATGTTTCTTATTTATTTCATCGTTTATCCAAAACGTAATTTTTTTGTTCAGAATGCCCTCTTCAGGGGTCATTTCTCTAGCCGACCATGGACATTTAATTTCTAGCAGACCTTTTTCGCCTATCAAACCATCTGGCGATGCTGCCAGAAATGGATGGTTCCTATCAATAAACAACCCGCAAGATTGTACTTCTGATTGCGAATATGATTTCTCTATTTCTGCTTTTGCCACGCTTTCATGCTTTTTTCCATAGTCACATGCATTGCTAAAGAATTCGGTTGGGTATATTATGGCGTTTACTAGAGCTCTGCAACTTTTTGTATCTCTTCTTCTACAAACCTCACCAAACCGAGACGCAGTCAACCTCATTCTTCGATGAAGACGCCACAAATTGCAATCCTGAGATTTTGTGGCTTGCTCGATCTAGGAAATTTCGGAGTCGGTTTTTGCAAGTTTTTTCAAGAATTGTACCTTGGCAGCCTCTATATCTTCGTTGCTCATGTCAGGCTTCTCACAGAATTCCCCATAGGATGCGTTCTCTTTAGTATCACTATCCCTGATTTTAATTTTCCTTGGTTTCAGCTTCCTTTTCAGATTTTTGTGCGCTCTCCTTTCTTCAACTTTAGCAATCAAAGAGGTTGCAATGAAACTAGGGAGTAGCCGCTTTTGGATCACACAAACAGGCCGCTGTGTATTGTCGCTCACTACGGCTGCAGCACATCTTCCTTGGTAGGATGTCTTCTTGCAATAATTAATCCGTTTACCCCCAATGAATTTAGCTATGATTGAGTTAAACTGCTCTACAATATTATTATCGACGTCACGAAGTAAACTTACTGCATTTTTAATCAGAATTGCCAGAAATGATATCAGCCTCTGGTGCAAATCTAAAAAAAAAAGGGTATACACACCTGAATTTGAAGATCCATGCCATCTGTCTCTGTTAGAGAATGCATATGCGAAACCTTGCTGTCATTTTTAAGCTAAAATAACATATAAAATATAGTTATAATAGTAACTACGTATAGTCTAATTTATTGGCAAAATGAATGCTAAAATTCATAATTGTTTTGGTACCTACCTTTCTATCTGGAAAACGTTTTTTTTCCTGTGCGTATTTAACTGCGGCTTCTTCGAGACGCCACGTTTATTTCTCTTATTGTTCATTTTTGATACCTTGATAAGAAATACACTCAACAATAACAACACAACAATAACAACACGACAATACAACAATACAATAACTGTAATAAGATTAATAAGGGCTGGGTATACTATGAGCCAAAATAGGGGTAAACAGTCGTACGCTAGATCGTATATCCAAATCAAATCCGACTCTGTGCAATATGCAAATTCAACCAGGCACGCGAACAGCACACCTCTGCGTATTACTATCCTTTTCTAACGTAGAGCGCTTGCCTTGTCACAACGCCGTCCTACTAGCGTTTCCCTATCACCCCCCCGATACCCCTCAGAAACTCTGCTTGACTGTGAGAGCGCCGTTAAAGAGGTCGTGAGACCCTTTCGGGACGTCGACGGGGAATGACAGCTTGGTACGCACCCGGCAACTAGCAACCAGGCGGTACTGAAGATTTGACCACTTCTTGATAATTAGTGAAATTTCTGGTAATATCAATGACTCACGTATTTTAACGGTTTATAACAAATTTTGAAAATATTGAAAATTCTGAAAATTTTGAAAATATTGAAAATCTTGAGATTAGTGTTAATTTTCAAAAATTTTTAGATTTAGAAAAATTTGGAAAATCTTGAAAATCTTGAAAATTTTGAATATTTAGAAATTTTGAAAATTTGGAAAATTTTGAAAATTTCGAAAATTTCGAAAATTTTGAAAATTTTGAAAATTTTGAAAATTTTGAAAATTTTGAAAATGTGTTGATTTTCAAAAATTTTTAGATTTAGAAAAATTTGGAAAATCTTGAAAATCTTGAAAATCTTGAAAATTTTGAAAATTTTGAAAATCGTGACGATTCTAAAAATATTGAAAGTACTGAAGATTTCGAAAATTTGGAGAATCTTGAAAATCAGAAAATTATGAAAAGTTGGAAATTTTGAAAATTTGAAAAGTTTTCAGTGCCACCAAAATTTTCATGATTATCAACATATTTTGAATATTAAAAATTTCCCAGATTTTCAATCATCTCCAAATTCTCGATATTTTCAAAATTTGATAATTTTTAAAATTCCAAGGATTTAAAAGATTTTCGAAATTTCACAAATCCTCAAAATTCTCTAAATTTTCTAAGTTTTTAAAGTTCTCAAAATTTTCAATATTTTAAGAATTTTCAACATTCTTCGAATATTAAAAATTTCAGAGATTCTCAACCACTTCCATATTCTCGATATTTTAAAAATTTTATAATTTTTAAAATTCCAAGGATTTCAAAGATCTTCGAAATCCTACAAATTCCCAAAATTTTCAGTATTTCAAAAATGTTCATCATGTATAAAAGTTTTCAAAATTTTAAAAATCCTCAAAATTTCCAAAATTCTCAGAATCTTCGAAATTTCTAAAAGTTTGAAGATTTCGACAACTTTGAAAGTATTAAAAATTTTGAGATTTAAAAAATGTAGGTATATTGTGTCAACCAGTGGCATTGATAAACCTTGGTTATTTGAAAAATAAGCAGAATTTCTTAGGTAAAACTTATCAGAGGGTCATTTGTTTCGTATACGAGATTTATCGCAAAATCAAAATCGTGACAATGCTAATATGCAATTTATTTTAAATTCCAATTACAAATAAATGCAGGAAATTAACAACGATTATTCAATAAATCAATCAAAAATGATCAACATCCTCTGAAACGTCAAAAAACAAAGTTTGGGCGGTTTTAATTGTTTTTCGTTTTTGCCCATTTTCTCTGCTGCCACTGGAGCGATTTCCAAAAACTACAAAGCTTTTGCGTCGTTGTCATCGTAGCAGCATTGTGTAAAAATTTCATCAAAAACCGAGTGGTACTTCTCAAGCTATAGACTGAAATGAGTGACATGGTTTTTCGTAAAGTACGAGCCAAAACATGATATTTGTGAATTTATTTGTGGGCTGATTAAAATTTTATTTCAAATACAATATTTTTGGTTTCTTTCAATGTTTACGGAAAGATAACAGAACCGACGCGGCTTTTTTAAATCGTTTTTATTTCGAAATCGTCTTCTTTGCAAAATGATTTGTGTATAGCGATAAACATGATGGAGACAACTTAAGTTTAACGGTTTGTTTATTCGTTTCGATCAAATATAGGTAGGCTTTGTAAAACAAACGTTGCTAAGCAGACGATTTTTTTACTTTTAAGTCAACTTTCAATGCATTGGTGTTGTTAACTATCAAAAACGGCTCGTGGTAAAGCTGTTTCTGACGAAATAAGAAAAGCGATCATTTACTTGCATTTAAAAGGCCAAAATGCTTCCCAAGTCGCTGACAGGTTTAACAAATCCAGGAATACACGAAATATCATTAAATTGTACAAAACAACGGGATCTCTGACTCAAAAATCGAGAACTGGAAGTCGCCCGCGTTTTCCAATACAAACTTAAAAGCCTTAAAATGGATGATCAAGGAAAATCGGCATGTTAATTATAAAGAACTGAAAATATCATGGAACCAGGCAACCACAAAAAAGGTTTCAAGTCCAACTTGTCCCAGAGCTGCAAAAAACTGGGATTTAAAACTTACAAGGTAGGCTTGAATTTTTATTATTCGTTTTTAATTCAGTATTTCTATGCAAAAGGGAATCCCTTCCTGACAAAGACTTAGAACAAAAACAGACAAGCGTGGGTTAAAGAACACAGAGTCAATGGAACTCCATGATTTGGAGTGATGAAGCCAGATTTGAAGAGAAGTGGGAAACTTACACTGTGTTGAAGATATTTTGAATGCTGATAAGTACATTAATGTACTTCAAAATAACTTAATACCCCAAATCAAATGTGTTTAAACAATGTCGAATGTATCTTCCAACGAGATGGTGCCGCTTGCCATACGGCTAAAAAAGTAAAAGATTGTATGGTAGAAAACAATATTCCAGTTTTAAAATGGACGTCGATCTATCGCCGATTGTAACCTTGTGGCACATCATGAAGAAAAAGCTCCGATCGAATCCCGCAAGAACCGTTCCAGAATCGGAGCAGTAATCAGTCGAAAAGGCGATATAACGCAGTGGTGATCTGCTGCTATTTGGTTTAGTTGATTTTATTATTAATCGGCACTGTTTTTGAATTGGTAAGGTATATTTTCTTTGTTACAAGAAAATGTAGATTTTAGACTAATATTGAATTTAAATATCGTATATTATCCGAAATATACTAAGTGACATATAAATCCGAACACCCAGTTTAAATGGTTTTATTTTAATAAAATTTTGTATAAGTACTTAATGAAGTTGGTGAATGTATTTATCTTACTGTAAATAACACGTGAAAAAATTTTCAGCCTTATCAGTTGGACATTTCGGTTTTTTTTATACTGCTTTTTTTTAATTCACTAGCGCTCTAAAAATGAATATATCAGCCGCAGTAAAGGATCAACGTTGGCGGATTTTGGTTCTTGACATCCTTTACGATCGGTTACGATGCCTAGAGTACGGAGACCTGTACGATTTCGTCAACTTAGTGAGTTTGATAGGGGCCGTATAGTGGGACTTCGGAAGCTGGACTTTCTTTTCGGGCAATTGCAGTTAGAGTGCAAAGAAGTGTAGACACTCTGGTTAGGTGTGGACGCCGCCGTAGAACAACAGACCGTGAAGATCGCTGCCTAAGATTATTGGCCTTAAGGGACCGTTTCTCCACTACCAGGTCCATTGCAAATGCATGGTTTGCAGAACACGGAAGACCTATTGGCATGCGAAGTGTTTACCGACATATGAGAAGTTTTGGCTTGTTTTCATACCGGCCACACTGGGTCCTCCCTTTAACTCGAGAACACCGACGTAATCGCCTTGAGTGGTGCAGACAACGGTCACTCTGGGATCAGGAATGGAACAGTATTGTCTTTAGTGACGAGTCTCGATTTTGTTTAGGCATGCACGATGGTCGTGCCAGGGTTAGAAGGCGACGTGGTGAAAGGAGGAATCCACAGTTTTTTGTTGAAAGACATGTTCATCACACTGTTGGAGTTATGGTTTGGGGTGCTACAGCTTATGGTTCCAGGTCACCTTTAATCTTCATCAGAGGTAACATGAACGCGCAGCGTTATATCCACGAAGTTCTAGAACCCCATCTTTTACCCTATCTTGACACCCTGGCAGATCCAACTTTCCAACAAGGTAATGCCCGACCACATGTAGCAAGAGTCACAATAGACTTCTTTCAACATGGCCACCAAGATCTCCCGACCTATCCCCAATTGAGCACGTGTGGTATATGATGGGTAGGAGATTGCTCAATTTGCAACGTCCTCCTCAGACTCTAGAAGCACTTCGAGAGGAGTTGGTGGTTGCCTGGAATGAGATACCACAGGAGGACATTGACCACCTGATCAGAAGCATGCCTAGGCGCGTTGGAGAATGCGTAGCACATCAGGGTGCATCCACACATTATTAAAGGTCAAAGGGCTTTAAAGCAGTGCAATCATTTTGAAAGTTTTATCATTTACTTATTATGCTTCGTTAAGTACTTATACAAAATTTTATTAAAATAAAACCATTTAAACTGGGTGTTCGGATTTATATGTCACTTAGTATATTTTGTCGCAAAAATTGTAGGAACCAGTCACCAATTTCTTAGCTCACACTTTTTGCACAAACTTCAATTACTTTCTAGCTTGATTCATTTGTGAGCTCACTTTTCCCGTAGTACGTAGATCCTTTCGTGCGTGTAATTTGTGGTAGATTCACTTTCGTTGTGTCGTACACGTAATAATCAGAATAAGCGACTAACAGCCTTGCATTTAGCCCACGGTGCATCACTTAGTCATACTCGTAGCTGCGCTAGCGATTACGATGCCGACATTGGAAAAAAGGATTCGTGCGTCGTGATTGGCCTACAGCGAAATGAGAATATTATCGTTAAGTAGCAAATCGCATTCCGGCGTTGTTGTTGTTTGCCACACATTTGCCGCGTCGATAGAAAGTGGAGATAGCTGTAAGAGACAGATTTGATTCATGGAGCGCGTAATCGGATAATCGTTGTGACTCTAATGAATATTAGATGTTGTTGTAGGAAAAACCTATAATTTTGTAACAAAAAGGTTATTAAGGTAGTATAACCATATTACATACGAGGGTTGTTTCAAAAATATGGTTCCCAACGCTGTGCGTAATTCTAGGCAAAATCTGGCAACACCGCCGTGTTTGTCGGCTCTCCCACCACCGATCCCGACAAGACGCGCCTATTGGCAATGCTCAGTACCGGTCTGATAGCCATGCGCAATGGAGCCCTTCATCGCCAGGTGCAAAATTCGTAGACAAAATGGCGACTATGTAGAAGAATAGCTTTGGTATCAACGACTCTAATGGTAAATTCGTTTTTTCAAAATAAGAAATTCCTAGTACCTAAAAAAATGTGGAAACCTCGTAACTAAGAAATGACGTAACATTTGGGAAAAAATTTAGACAATAATTAAAAGAATTATGTAGAAAATTAAAACCTCAGCATTCAAATTTATGCAAAATTTTAAAACTAATTATATTTGTTGTAAACATATGATATTTGTTAATAAGATATTATATAATCTTCACGCAGGCAATGCCTTGTGATTACCAATGTTAGGAGCGTATAATAAATACAGGGTTATCCAAATTAAGTGTCCACCATTAGTAACTTTGTTATTAGTGAAAATACAAAGTTGTTTGAATTAGCAAACTAGTAGCATTTTTAACGCTGGTAAAAATGAGAAATAAAAAAAACAATTGAGAGTCGTTATTTTGATTTTTTTCAGTAAAATAACATTTTTTTAAATAGAAACCCCTGTATATTATATTTTTTTCTGTTAAAGCATCAAATTTTGAACAAAAAAGCTCACAATAACTTTTCTCCTAGGTTACAAATTGTTGAAGTTATGGCCTCCAATCTGAAACAATTAAATTGTATCGACAAACTTTATTTTCAACATCAACTTATAATCTTACAAAATACAATAACAATTTTTTTTAAAGAAGATGCTCGAAAACACCACCTTGTTCTTCAATACATTTTTGGGCACGTTTTTCAACTGCTCGAACTGTCTTAAGTATGGTCCTACCATCTATCTGGGTTATCTTTTTCCTAACTGCAGTTTTTAACGCGTCAAGGTTATCGTACCTTCGCTTGTAAATTTGGTTCTTTAAGTAACCCCACAAGAAGTAATCAAGTGGGCTTAGATCTGGTGATCTGGGAGGAAACTGTATTGGGCCATTTGTTCCTATCCACTGATCATTAAAAGTAGTACTTAGAAAATGATAAGTACCTCTGGAGTTGTGGGCAGGTGCGCCATCTTGCTGAAAATGCAGATGATGTCTACTTATAAGATCCAATTCGTCTAAGAAATTAGTCAGAATTTCTGACATAAATTCCACATATCTTTCACCAGTTAAGGTTCCCTCATAAAAGAACGGGCCAACAATTTTTGAACCAATTATACCGCACCAAACGTTGAAACTGAAACGGACTTGTGGGCCTCTTGGATGTACTAACAAAAGATTTTCTCTTGACCAATAATGGTGGTTTTTTCTATTAAACATTCCAGAATTTGAAAAATTTGATTCATCTGTCCATAAAAGGTAACGAAAGTTATTTACATTTTGGCGACAGAAGCTAAGATACCAATGGCAAAAAACAAGTCTTCTCTCTGGATCCCCTGCCAAAAGCGTTTGAACTGGTCGTTACTTATACGGAATAAATTTGTATTTTTTTAAAATCCTTTGAACAGTACCATAACTGAAATTAGAGTCCTTGAGAATATCTGCTATTGAATTCTCACGATAAGCTTCAAAATATCCAATAACTGCAATTTCCGTGGCCTCGCTTATTATGAATTCTTTTTTTGCCCTTGTTTTAGCAAAAACATTTTCGTTGCCCCTAAATTTTCGATAAAGTCTCAGAAAATATCGTTCATACGGTTGAATGCGAGCGGGATATAATTCACTGTAGTATTCTCTTGCTCTCAAGGAGGATTTTCTGCACACTAAATAGCATTCTAACATCACACTTTTCTTCATGGGAGAACATTTTTCTTTAAATTAATGACACAATAAAGCTTATAAACAAGTATTTACACTAATGTTTGACATTATTTGATTTTATCATTGTTTTCCAAAGCCTTCTAGTTGCGAGTATGTCCAGTTTAACAATTTGTCGCTTATCTTAATGCTGTCAAATCGCGAACGCCATGTTGTTTTCATAGCCGTCTTAATATTATAATACTGCAAATAATTAAAAATATTTATCGTTATTTTGACTTTATTTTTGACTTTAGCGGAAAAGTCATTATGAACTTTTTTGTTTAAAATTTGATGCTTTAACAGAAAAAAATATAATATACAGGGGTTTCCATTTAAAAAAATGTTATTTTACTGAAAAAAATAAAAATAACGACTCTCAATTGTTTTTTTTTATTTCTCATTTTTACCAGCGTTAAAAATGCTACTAGTTTGCTAATTTAAACAACTTTGTATTTTTACTAATAACAAAGTTACCAATGGTGGACACTTAATTTGGATAACCCTGTATATTCATATAAACCCTCCTACAGACCCCAAAACCAAATTTTTTTCACCAAATTTTTTTTTCCAAAAATGGTCAGGATTCTCTGAAACATCAAGAAATAACGTTCGAGCGTTTCTTAGTTTTCTCATTTTTGATGGATATACCCTCCCACTCTTTAATCCCCCACCACCGCATTTTTTAACCCTATAGTTTATTTTTTACAAAAATGATAAGGGTCCTCTGAAACGTCATAAAACAACGTTTGAGCGGTTCTTACTTTTTTCGTGTTTGATAGATATACCCTCACCCCCCACCACCAAGTTTTGTACCACGAAAATTTATTTTTTTCAAAAATGATCAGGATCTTCTGAAACGTCAAAAAACAACATTTGAGCGATTCCAGCTATTTTCGTTTTTGATAGAAACACCCTCACCCTCCTACAACCCCCCACCACGAAGTTTTTTACCCCGAAAATGTATTTTTTTTTTAAAAATGATCATGATCCTCTGAAACGTCAAAAAACAACATTTGAGCGATTCTTACTATTTTCGTTTTTGATAGACATACCCTCCCAACCCCCTACAACCCCCGACCACGAAGTTTCTTACCCCAAAAATTTATTTTTTTCAAAAATGATCAGGATCGTCTGAAACGTCAAAAAACAACATTTGAGCGATTTTTACTATTTTCTGTTTTGATAGACATACCCTCCCACCCCCCTACAACCCCCCACACAGATAAGGAGAAAGTTTTTTACCCCGAAATATTGTTTTTTTAAAGATGATCAGGATCCTCTGAAATGTCAAAAAACAACTTCAAGCTATTCTTACTTCTCTCGTTTTTGATAGATATACTCTCCCACCCCTCTACAACCCCCCACCACCAAGTTTCTTACCCCAAAAATTTATTTTTTTCAAAAATTATCAAGATCCTCTGAAACGTCAAAAAACAACATTTGAGCGATTCCAGCTATGTTCGTTTTTGATAGAAACACCCTCACCCTCCTACAACCCCCCACCACGAAGTTTTTTACCCCGAAAATGTATTTTTTTTTTGAAAAATGATCATGATCCTCTGAAACGTCAAAAAACAACATTTGAGCGATTCTTAATATTTTCGTTTTTGATAGACATACCCTCCCTACCCCCTACAACCCCCGACCGTCAAGTTTTTTACCCTGAACATTTCTTTTAAAAAAGATGATCAGGATCCTCTGAAACGTCAAAAAACAAAGTTTAAGCGATTCTTACTTTTTTCATTTTTGATCTATTACCCTCCCACCCCAATACAGCCCCCCACCAACCAAGTTTTTTACCCCGAATTTTTTTTTTCATAAATGGTCAGGATCCTCTGAAACGTCAAAAAACAACATTTTAGCGATTCTTACTATTTCCGTTTTTAATAGACATACCCTCCCACCCTCCTACAACCCCCGTCCACAAAGTTTTTTACCCCGAAAATTTATTTTTTTCAAAGATGACCAGAATCCTCTGAAACGTCAAAAAACAAAATTTGAGCGAAATTATTATTTTCATTTTTGATAAACATACCCTCCCACCCCCCTACAACCCCCGACCACCAAATTTTTTACCCCGAAAATTTATTTTTTCAAAGATGATCAGAATCCTCTGAAACGTCAAAAAACAAAATTTGAGCGAAATTATTATTTTCATTTTTGATAGATATACCCTCCCACCCCCCTACAACCCCCGACCACCAAGTTTTTTACCCCGAAAATTTATTTTTTCAAAGATGATTAGAATCCTCTGAAACGTCAAAAAACAACATTTGAGCAATTCTCACTATTTTCATTTTTGATAGACATTCCCTCCCTCCCCCCTACAACCCCCGAACGCCAAGTTTTTTAGCCTGAACATTTATTTTTTACAAAGATGATCAGGATCCTCTGAAACGTCAAAAAACAACATTTTAGCGATTCTTACTATTTCCGTTTTTAATAGACATACCCTCCCACCCTCCTACAACCCCCGTCCACAGTTTTTTACCCCGAAGATTTATTTTTTTCAAAGATGATCAGAATCCTCTGAAACGTCAAAAAACAAAATTTGAGCGAAATTATTATTTTCATTTTTGATAGACATACCCTCCCACCCCCCTACAACCCCCGACCCCAAGTTTTTTACCCCGAAAATTTATTTTTTCAAAGATGATCAGAATCCTCTGAAACGTCAAAAAACAAAATTTGAGCGAAATTATTATTTTCATTTTTGATAGATATACCCTCCCACCCCCCTACAACCCCCGACCACCAAGTTTTTTGCCCCGAAAATTTATTTTTTCAAAGATGATTAGAATCCTCTGAAACGTCAAAAAACAACATTTGAGCAATTCTCACTATTTTCATTTTTGATAGACATTCCCTCCCTCCCCCCTACAACCCCCGAACGCCAAGTTTTTTAGCCTGAACATTTATTTTTTACAAAGATGATCAGGATCCTCTGAAACGTCAAAAAACAAAGTTTAAGCGATTCTCACTTTATTCATTTTTGATAGATTTACCCTCCCACCCCCCTACAACCCCCACCAACCAAGTTTTTTACCCCGAAAATTTAATTTTGTCATAAATGATCAGGATCCTCTGAAACGTCAAAAAACAACATTTTAGCGATTCTTACCATTTTCTTTTTAAATAGACATACCCTCCCACCCCCCTACAACCCCGACCATCAAGTTTTTTACCCCGAAAATTTATTTTTTTTAAAGATGATCAGGATCCTCTGAAACATCAAAAAACAACGTTTAAGCTATTCTTACTTCTTTCGTTTTTGATAGATATACTCTCCCACCCCCTGCAACCCCCCACCACGAAGTTCCTTACCCCAAAAATTTATTTTTTTCAAAAATGATCAGGATCCTCTGAAACGTCAAAAAACAAAATTCGAGCGAGTCTTACTTCTTTCGTTTTTGATAGACATACCCTCCCACCCTCCTACAACCCCCGACCACCAAGTTTTTTACCCCGAAAATTTATTTTTTTCAAAGATGATCAGAATCCTCTGAAACGTCAAAAGACAACATTTGAGCAATTCTTACTATCTTCGTTTTTGATACATACCCTCCCAACCCCTGCAACCCCCCACCACGAAGTTCCTTACCCCAAAAATTTATTTTTTTCAAAAATGATCAGGATCCTCTAAAACGTCATAAAAAAAAATTCGAAGGAGTCTTACTTCTTTCGTTTTTGATAGACATACCCTCCCACCCTCCTACAACCCCCTACCACTAAGTTTTTTACCCCGAAAATTTATTTTTTTCAAAGATGATCAGAATCCTCTAACGTCAAAAAACAACATTTGAGCAATTCTCACTATTTTCATTTTTGATAGACATACCCTTCCACCCCCTACAACCCCCCCCCCCCCACGAAGTTTCTTACCCCAAAAATTTATTTTTTTAAAAAATGAACAGGATTCTGTAAAACGTTAAAAAACCACATTTGAGCGGTTCTCACTATTTCCGTTTTTGGTACCACATTTTTTACTCCTAAAATTTATTTCTTCGAAAATGGTCAGGATTCTCGGGAACGTCAAAAAACAACGTTTGAGCGATTCTTTCGGTTTTGGCCTTTTTCTCCGCCGCCACTGGACCGATTTTCAAAAACCTCAAAGCTTTTTCGTCCTTGGCATATTAGTAACCTTGTGTGAAAATTTCATCCAAATCAAAGAGGTACTTTCCAAGTTAGAGACGGGTAGAGGAATAGTGGAGAGACCAACAAAAAATCCTAATCATACTCAATAAAAGTTTACGTACCCCATGGCACAACAGACCAATCAAAATTATTACTAGCCACCGCATTTCTTCTTTGCTTCTCCAGGTCTTTATCTGAAAATAAAAAACATCCCAGATTTAGTTTTCTGCACTACAAAAAATAACAATGGTATGGATTGGTTTTACCAAATGTGTACCAAATAACACAAATTCAGATGTCCGGAATGTTAAAATGCCCTTCGTGTTTGAAAATGCATTGGTTGGTATTTTTATTCGATATTATTCACAATATTTGTAATTAGTTTATGCTTGATATTGGGCTATTAAGGTTCTCATTGGAATAATCTCCGAAATCGACTTGATGAAATTGCCTTATTCAATAGCTGCGTCTATCTTACATTATGTAAAAATTACGATCGCAATACAAATAGATACAGACACCAATGTGATTATAAAAACATTATCAAGCGGTGAAGTCTGTAGCTTTCCCTATACGTAAAAAAGTACGTCTGTTGTAAATTGCGACGCCATAGAGAAGCAGGTGTTCACGAACAGTTCCGCCAAGAAAGAATATCCACAATCGATTCGATATTTTCATGAAACGAAGGCAACGTGGCAAATATCAAAAGCTACTAGTTCTTAGAAATAAGAGCAAGTCTGCGACTTAGCTCAAATCAGTCGTTTCGCCAGACAGCAATAAAACCCTGCCTTAGATGTTGAGGGTTTGGTTAGTCGCCAATAACATAGACAGTTATGGCCTATTCAGGTCCGGTACTTTCAAAACTGGACAATCGATAACCTTAGAAACGCGAAGCTTCTTCAAAAAACAAGAGAGAACTCACTGCTTATGCACTTAATGCTCATACAGTTTTTGCCTTGCTTATCAACAGTGTACAGATTTAAGATATCCCCACCTGTAGATAAACACATACAATGGATAAAAAGTTGTTCATCCTCGGACACAGATTTAATCTTGCGATTAAGGTCAAATCGGTTGGTTCTGCGAAGACCAATGCAGGAAGGTAGACTAGCCAACTGGTGGGTTTTTTTGAATTTGTAGGTTAAGTGGCTAAGCATGGCTGCCAGATGATCTCAGTCGAATGCCTGGTTACACTGCAAGACTTTTTTCAACGAGATTGGCGATTTCTAATATTCGTCTTAACTTCGCTTTGTATTCCACATGACTAATTTATGAAATGTTTAACTTTTGATTATTAACTTTTAATTGGACTTGAACACAGTCGTTTGTTATAGAAGTGGTGTCTAAGTAGTGTAGATTATATTACTTTGTACGTCTTACATTAGTTTTAAGGGATTTAGTTTGAATATTCAAAGTAATGCAATACGAGCCCCTTCCGACTTCAGTTGACCTAACTATTGAAATCTTAGTCTTTTTCTAATCAAACACAAATAATGAAAATGTGGCAGGGTGTTATAGGTTTAAAATATTAACAATGAATATTTTGATAATATATATAGTAGAAAACACCAACAGTTTAAATGGTTTTATTTTAATAAAATTTTGTATAAGTACTTAATGAAGCATAATAAGTAAATTATAAACATTTCAAAATGATTGCACTGCTTTAAAGCCCTTTGACCTTTAATAATGTGTGGATGCACCCTGATGTGCTACGCATTCTCCAACGCGCCTAGGCATGCTTCTGATCAGGTGGTCAATGTCCTCCTGTGGTATCTCATTCCAGGCAACCACCAACTCCTCTCGAAGTGCTTCTAGAGTCTGAGGAGGACGTTGCAAATTGAGCAATCTCCTACCCATCATATCCCACACGTGCTCAATTGGGGATAAGTCGGGAGATCTTGGTGGCCATGGTAACAATGTGACATCATTATGTTGAAAGAAGTCTATTGTGACTCTTGCAACATGTGGTCGGGCATTATCTTGTTGGAAAGTTGGATCTGCCAGGGTGTCAAGATAAGGTAAAAGATGGGGTTCTAGAACTTCGTGGATATAACGCTGCGCGTTCATGTTACCTCTGATGAAGATTAAAGGTGACCTGGACCCATAAGCTATAGCACCCCAAACCATAGTGTGATGAACATGTCTTTCAACAAAAAACTGTGGATTCCTCCTTTCACCACGTCGCCTTCTAACCCTGGCACGACCATCGTGCATGCCTAAACAAAATCGAGACTCGTCACTAAAGACAATACTGTTCTATTCCTGATCCCAGAGTGACCGTTGTCTGCACCACTCAAGGCGATTACGTCGGTGTTCTCGAGTTAAAGGGAGGACCCAGTGTGGCCGGTATGAAAACAAGCCAAAACTTCTCATTCGTCGGTAAACACTTTGCATGCCAATAGGTCTTCCGTGTTCTGCAAACCATTCATTTGCAATGGACCTGGTAGTGGAGAAACGGTCCCTTAAGGCCAATAATCTTAGGCGGCGATCTTCACGGTCTGTTGTTCTACGGCGGCGTCCAGTGCCCCTTGCTCTTTGCGTACGGCCTTCTCGAAGCCACGCCTGACAACACCTAACCACAGTGTCTACACTTCTTTGCACTCTAACTGCAATTGCCCGAAAAGAAAGTCCAGCTTCCCGAAGTCCCACTATACGGCCCCTATCAAACTCACTAAGTTGACTAAATCGTACAGGTCTCCGTACTCTAGGCATCGTAACCGATCGTAAGGGATGTCAAGAACCAAAATCCGCCAACGTTGATTCTTTACTGCGGCTGAAATATTCATTTTTAAGCAGGAATGTCCAACTGATAAGGCTGAAAATTTTTTCACTTGTTATTTACAGTAAGATAAATACATTCACCAACTTTTATTAAAATAAAACCATTTAAACTGGGTGTTCGGATTTATATGTCACTTAGTACAGGTAGAGGAAAGGTTATTAGTGAGAAAATAATCTCTGATGCCCAAATTCAGCCAATAAGAAGGCGTTTTTGGATCTGATGAATATGGTCGATTTCATATAAAATGAACAATACAAATACCTATTTTTTCATTTGCGACTGAAAAATCTGTTTGCTTTCCCTTCTCTGTGACCTTGACTAACCGCATACAACGTTGTCTCACGCTTCTTAGCAATCATCAGTACGATAATGGTCTAGCCTTGGAGATAGTCAATATAAGGCGAACAAGCAAATATGGTCTGCTAAAAAAATGTATTCACTTATAGATTGGTGTAAATGACGAAGATAGCAAATTTTAGTAATACTCAAATACGGTTATGTATTGTTTCAAAAGGCCATTATTTCATCATTCATATTTTAGAAATATGTGATCAAAATAATACATACTTTTATATACCTTTAAGAAGCATCTAGTGTATCAACTTGACATTCTTCATTGCCTAAATTAACTACTCTTAGAAGTAATGATTTCTCCTGAGTGGAATGATTGCCAGGTCAAGTGCCGTACAAGTATCATGCGTTTTATTTACTTAGGAAATGCTAATACCTACACGTTTATATACTTAACACGTAGTAATAGATGTAGTTGTGCTGTTATATTTGCATTTGAATACCAGTAGCTACTATACAAAGTGTGACACGTAAAACAGGAGCAAGCGATACGGATGCATAAGACAACTATGAAAATTAGGGCTTATAGGCGTGTAAAGTGTATGTGTAGTCCGAAATTTTATAGTTCAGGAGCTATTAGCAATTAAAAACAAAACCATTAGGTTTCGGGCTGTGCTTTTTTTTGAGATGAGCTAAATCATTAGCTTTAGCAATAGTTATGTGACTTCTTAACAGAGCTTTTCAGAAATAAACGCAAAAACTCTTAAATTAATTTAAGATTATAGGGGTTCATTCGATACCTTTTGATGCCCTCTATCACCTCTGACTTCCGTTGATCCACTGCTAACTTTACACCCTGTATAATAGTAAGCAAATTTTCCTAGTAATACATTAATACAGGGTATTTTCAAAGTTGAGTCATTTAATTTAATAGCTCGTAGAACTCGCTGAAGGAAGTTGATATACCAAAAATCAGCTATACGTTATAAAAGTTGCATAACAAGACAGTTAGTTAGTAATAAGCAGGCCATTGACCACGCCAGCCCAAACATCAAATGAAAATCTATGTTGAAAATGAGTTCTTTTCACAGCATGCGGATTTTCGACTGCCCAAACATGGAAATTGTGCACTCCATTACGTGCAAATGTGGCCTCGTGTGTACGCAGAATTAGCTTCGTAAAATCTTCATTTCTTCGTAATGATAAAGATTGTTCTTATCGTATTGTCTTCCAAACCTTACTATGAGAAACTTCAACTTGAAAAAAAAACAAGTTGAAGAAATTATTTCTAACGTCACCGAGTATTGTCTAGCTTCTTCTAGTAACGAAACGCCACTGCCCTGAAAATTTAACACCTCTTCCTTAATTCATATATCCGAATTTACTGTTACCGAAACATTTACTCGACTATTAGCCCACATAAAGAGCTGGAAAGTGGAACTCCAAATTAATTTCATTTTTATTTATTAATCAAGAGCTGCTAGCCTCGGAGCAATTAGATTAATGAGATTTCTTTCGATTGGTTCTTGAACAGGCTGCAATTTATGGTCCGCTGCGCCGTTTTTTGAAGCAACGAAAGATGAACGAGATCAAGTTCGGTCGGGTTTTTTAGATTTCATTTGCAATATTTACAGAAGTAAAATCGGTGGTTTGGAGAACTGCTCGGAGAAATCGTCCATTACGGTTTTTGCTTAAGTAAATATAACAGTTTCAATGTTTGTTTTTACTTTCTGAAATAAGAACACCCGCGCAAAGTAATTCGTCGACAAAATATACTAAGTTTAAATGGTTTTATTTTAATAAAAGTTGGTGAATGTATTTATCTTACTGTAAATAACAAGTGAAAAAACTTTCATCCTTATCAGTTGGACATTCCGGTTTTTATACTGCTTAAAAATGAATATTTCAGCCGCAGTAAAGAATCAACGTTGGCGGATTTTGGTTCTTGACATCCTTTACGATCGGTTACGATGCCTAGAGTACGGAGACCTGTACGATTTCGTCAACTTAGTGAGTTTGATAGGGGCCGTATAGTGGGACTCCGGGAAGCTGGACTTTCTTTTCGGGCAATTGCAGTTAGAGTGCAAAAGAAGTGTAGACACTGTGGTTAGGTGTTGTCAGGCATGGCTTCGA